CAAGAAAAAGAAAAGTTGTCCATAAAAAAAAAAAAAAAAAAAAAAACAACAAATTTAAAATGATAAAAGCATTATTTTCGTTTATTTCCCGTTCTTAAGTGTATCCCGGTTTTGCATAAATATTAAAGAAACTACAAAGATGTTCCAAAACGGCTTCTTTTAAGTACCAACTAGATAAAATTCCTTCTCAGAAAAGGTGTTACAATTGATGCATTGGAACAAGATTTCTGGTAAAACTTTTGTACACAGTATATATATATATATATATATATAATAAATATCATTGTAAAACCAATACATCCCTCGCTTCACTCAGAATCTACAGTACACTATACATCTAAATCTTAATTAAGAAAAACTCTAGTTTAATCAATCCCAATTATTTTATATTCAAACTTCTAAAAACAAAAAAATACTAGATTTAAGTACAAATTAAATAAATACAATATGGGAACTAATAAAACTAATTTATATGCGGGAATAATATTATCTTGACCAGGACTAGTTTTATTACTAATACGATCAAGTTCATCATATCAGAAACGTGTGCATAAGTTAAGTTACTGAGAGATTAAATACACTGGGTAAATATTGAAAAAAAAACGTTTGAAAATTCGTGTTTTAACAAAAGCTTTATATTATTATGTGACATGATCAAAGGAAGGAATGAATTACAACGTTTATTATTAGTAAACTTCCAAAATTATTTTGAATAATAACTGTGTGGTAACAAGCTTTAAATGTTTCTTATGAATGAACCTTTAGCTATAAAATTTAGTATGAAATAAGGAAATTAACAATTTTTATGATTTTTTTTCCTTTCATCTCTTAAACAAATGTGTTAACAATAATATAAACTATATATATTTTATATTGACCTAAATTATATTATATTTTATTATTTTGTGATGGCACATTGGTATCAAACATAGATTCGGTTTCTATTTAAGTTTCTAAAATATAAATAAACATATACCTCATAAGTTTACAACTATAACAGAAAAATAAAACATGAATAATAAAATATAGACACTAATTTGTATGTCAACTACTAAGTAATACAATGCTATATGAAGATCTAACAATAGTTATAAAAAAAAACGATAGAAGTTTTTACAAAAAATAGTCTTTAGAAAATTCGTAATACAACCTAACTTAATGAACATTTTTTATAATGTATAAATACATTTCTTTTTAACTGGGAAACACAGACACACACACACACATACATACAAAAACCAAAAGCTTTCAAATTAATGAATGTGTTGTGTTGGCATTAAAAGTCAACCGTGAGCTTACA